CAAACATGATATAGCCCCAACCATGGCCACAACTGACTCCATTCCCCTTAGAATTTTCCCTCTTTCTTCTCATGAATGTCCAGCTTCACATGACTTTGATCACCTCTAACAATCTTTTTTACATAAAAAGAAAATGTAAAACAACAATGTGATACAATTTTTTCACATGGCTCCTCACTAGTTGCCCAGGAGCTATGGCTAACATGAAGGAGAGCTCACTGGCAACAATTGCACTGGCGATGACAATGGTTAGAAGCCTCGAGTTTGCTTTAAGAGAGTCCCTGCTCAACGCCTTTCACTCCCAACAAGTTCAAGCACGTTGACTGAGTTGATCTGAAGAGACTTTGTGTTGTTAGAGAGAGAAAAAGAGAGAAGGGAGGTGTGGGTTTGATTTTTGAGCATAGAGAAGAGACAAAAGTAGAGAGAAAGATGGATACATACAAAGGTAAGAGGGATGCATGAGTCTGCTTTTTGTATAAAGAAAAAAGAAAAAAGAAAAAAGGCAGAGAGAGGTAAAGAGAAAGTGGGTGTATGTTTGAATTTTCTTAGAGAGAAAGAGAGAGAGACAGAGAGGTAGAGGTGAGAGAGCCACATGATTTGTAAGGCTCTCACTTGTGCCTATCAATCACCTAATAAAATTTTTTTAAGAAAATGTTTTTGACGGCCATAATCCATCAGAATCTTTGTCAAAATTTTTTTAAATTTCAAAATATCATGACTCACCTGTCAATTATATGACAAAATTTTTGTAAAAGGTGTTTTTGACGGACAACATCCGTCAGAAATTTCATCCAAAATTATTTTAAAATTTAAAATACCACTAAATTTTTTAAAAAGGTATTTTCGACGGATAATATCTATCATAAATTTCATCAATATTTTTTTGAGATTCAAAATTGTACTAAAAGTTTTTTAAACTTTATGTCTAAAATTATTTTTAAATTTTTCAATGGAAAGTAATTATCGGAAATATTATTATTTTAAAAAAATTATTTTTTTTGTTTTTGACAAACAGTGTCCATCAAAAACTGTTTCCATTTTTTCCGATGGACTTTCTGTTGGAAAATCCATCAGAATTTTGACCAAAACTTGTTCGCTGGAAAAAAAATTCATCAAAAATTGGCATATTGATTGTAGTGAATATCATCGACCAAATTTACATACATATTTTATGGTCCAATGTTATATATATTTATTTATAGTTTTCCAGCATTTGTAAATCACGTGACATTTTAAATTTTTTTAATGTTAATTAATAACACAATATACATTTAATAAAGTGCATTTTATTTAATTGAATCACTTAAATTACTAAAAGCTCCAAAACTGGTTTTTTTCTATGCTCGCTTTTTAATTGAAGATAAAACATTAATTCATATCCTATGGTTATAAGATTTTGAGAAATAATTAGAAAAATTATTTTTTATGGATGCTAGATTGAGTGAGAAAATCCATTACAAATTATTTTAGCAGAAGATAATTTTTTTAAAAAAAATTATAAATAATGAAGAAGTTTCATCTAATTGCATTTTAAGTTACAAATGATTTGATAAACTAAATGAAAACTAGAGAGGTGAATCAAAAGACATGTATAATAAATTGAAATTTGAAAGAAAGAAATATATTTAAAAGATCATTCTCTTATAGTCATCCAACTTCTTATGTACGCAAATTGTGTCACAACTATTTTATTATAGTCAAGCATTATTCATAACATATAATAACCCAGTTCTAAATTGAGGTCTAAACTATAAGATTTTATCCCTGTGTGGATTTAATTTAGCAGAATGAAATTTTTGAGGGACAAGATTAAAGGGTAGTGGAATGTTGAGGCCAAAATTAGAGAAGATAAAAAAATGATGACCTAAGTGTGAATTTCACATATTCTTTCAGCAGAAAAGCCTTAACTGTGCTACGGTAAGATAATCACCCGTCATTGTATAAAAAACCTAGATTACCACAAACAGCAATCATACGAAAAATCTAGATACTCACACAATCATTCACAAGTCTAAAATGCAATAAATTGGTTCAATTACATCATCCCTAACTACAAAATTACTCCAAATTTTGATTTAATATATTCAGTATAGATTCAACAAATATAATGGAATTCAAAGATTTAAAGTAAAATAGATATAGAAAAAGAAAATTGCTCTGTATATTTACTGTTGATGCTCTATTTTCTTCTTCCTCGTGCAATGCTACTTCGTCGTCCCTCGTCCTGAAGTGAGTAGGTGCTTCTTCTCCACTGCCTCAAAGCTTTACACCTACTACTATGCTAGATACTACTACATCTACTTCTATTGGTTCTCTCCTCTGACTCCGCCTAACTACTGCATAGCCAAGAGAGAGAACCCCTCTTCTGATGCATAATCTCCCTTTTCAACGACCAGTTAGGTCACTCCTTCAGTTAAGGTCTGAATAGTTGGATTTGAAATTGAAGTTTCCATGCAATCCATTTTAGGTTGCTCCAGCTTTAGAGACACAAATCATTGCAGCTCCAAAGCAGTCGAGTTAGGGCTTTATATTGGGTGTGGCCTTCATGAGATTAGGGCCGTAAACGGATTGTATTTAAATCAAATCAGACAAATTTGAATTTGAATCTGACTATTTATTTTCATATTCAAATCCAATCTAAGATCATATAGCTCTATATCTGTTAAATTATAACTAAATTAAATGAATAATCTGAAATACGATAAGAAAATAGTATTCTTTTATATTTAAGTCTCTCAATTTTATTTCATTAATCATATTGGTCCCTCAATTTTTTAATTTTTCTAATTTAGTCCCTACGATATTGAGTTTATTAATATTATATGCATAATTATTAATTTAACAAAAATATTATTAAAATTCACATTCGAATTTTTAATAGATTGTATTACTTAATTCTGCATATAATTTACTTATTTTAAATTATGAATATTTATAATTAAATATAATTTATAAAATTTTTAATCCAATATAAATTCTAAAAATTGACTTGAATTCAGATAATTTGTAACTCATTGAAAATCCCACAGGAATGCAGCAGGTTTGGGCATAATGACTAGAATTTGAACTGAACAACTGCATTACTCTGGGCTGTAGGGTTGTGCAGAAATAGTGGGCTAGACAATGACAGCACGTGGGCTTGGCTAATTGGACTCCCCTATTTTGAACTCCACATGGGCTGCCTGAGATGCCGAAGGCAATTGTTGGGTCCTTTTTTTAGGACTTTTACATTTAAAATTCACAACTTGGGCGAGCTGATTGGGCTTCTACTTCCAATCTTTGAGCTCTACCGTATCCAAAATTTGGGCCAAAGTAGACTACTTCGACAACTTTGGGTTGCTGGAATTAACAAAAATCGGAATTGGTCTCAAAACCGCTCGGTCACCTGGTGGGTTGCAGCTTCCTTTTTTTTTCTTTTTTTAATTCCGGACAATTTCTAAGCTGAATTGGACTTTGTCAAAACATGGAAGCTGTAAAACTTTTTCTCAGCTTTCCCGCACTTCTTAAATCATCACAACCAGAATTTTTAGCACCAATTGCGAATTTGTTTCTAAACAGTTGCAGTCTGAAAATTTTGAACAACTTGCACTTTGGGCCTTGTACAAGAAATTAGACCAATAAATCCTATTTTCAACCATAACAATCTGAAATATTTGATAAATTCTCACCAAAGTAGCTATGAAAAATATTAATAAATTGGATTTATCATGGAATCACCAGGATAACTACTCCTCGAATCAGACAGCAGAACCAGGAATTTCTTTTAGTTTTTTTTTTATTTTGTTGAGTTTTTTAACGTAATTTCTTTTAATCTTTTTGCACGTAATTTTGTGCAAAAATAGCTTTCTCTTCCCTGGCTGAGTCAGCCATTTCTATTAACTAGTAAGGAATATGATTAAATGAATACAAACTGTGGCGATTAAGGGGAAATTGAACCTTTTTGAAGTTCCGCTGCCAAATTGAACATGGAGACAAAATTCAGTGCCCGTCGGAGTCATTACTACTATATTTATGCTAAATTAAAATCATTATATATGCCACATCAAAAAAAAAAAAAGAAGAAAAATCAACATTAATACTGGTATTCGCTGACCGCAAAAACATTGACGGTGGCCTTCATTAGATTTCTATTAGTTCTGACAGGCACTAGCACCCACGTTTTATAATTTATATTGCATCGTCTTCTGTGCACGTGCCACCCATATACAACTCAAGTTTTTTCTTTTTTTTTTTTCCGTTATTTAAGGGAGGTTTGGATCACCGGTATTTTTAAGTTTTAAGTTCTAAATTTTTTATGACGTAATAAAAAAATCAATTTCACTGTATAAGTCTTTGAGTATTTTTTTTAATTTCAATACAAATGCTTGATTATTTTTAATTAAGTTTATCGTTTTTAACAAACACACACACACACACACATACACACACACACACACACACACACACACAGAGAAGGGGGAGAGAAGGGGTCAGAGACCACTTATTTTCCAAATTTGCTGCTGGCGGCAGTCACGCCTCACACATCCAATGTTCAGGTCAAAAGAAGTACAATTCAGAAGAAGTCGTGCTCAATAACACAGTTAAGAGAGAGGGAGGGAGGGGGGGGGGGGGGGGGGGGACACATCCAGGGTTGAATTCCACCGCCAATCTTCCATTTCTGGAAGAAAAAAAACAGAAAAAAATAAAACATAGATTGGTAATTTTTTTTTAAAAAAAAAATGAAACTGGTCTGACTAGCAAAGGGATACAATCCCTAATTATTAGCCCAAGCCCAGTTTCTGGGACCATGCTGCTAGAATTGTTCGCACGACAATAACGCCGGCATGGATGGCCTGATCTTCCCAGCCTGTCCAAATATATTACCAGATTTTTTTTTCTTTTTCTTAAAAACGGGATAAAATAAGAAAAAACCTCGGATCAAATGGGTCAACCACCCAGAAAAACCTTCCAGACGTCTTAGCTAAACTTGGAAAGAAAAAACTCCGGAGGTGAAGCGAGGGTCACTGGTTGCGGAGGAAGAAAATACTGAGCTCCTGGCCGATGTTGCCTTCTGGGTCGATCAAGTGAAAGGACTGGGAATCCAACGATCCCCGAACTCTCTCAAAGTTGCTGCGGAGGTACATGATCTCATCCTCACCGTTCATTTCCTTGGCACTTATGGTGCCAGCGCCAACTTCTACCTTCTCCATCAGCTGCAAAACTTCTATATCCCCCTGCGTAGGCTTGGGCTTAAACGCAAACCCCACTATTCGTCCATTACAGTACATTCTCCAAACTGGCATGGACAAGAGAGAGCATGAAGAATCCACAACATTATTCCCTATAGCCGTGCACTCCAAGGCTATACGCAAAGTCCCATTCCTCATTTCCTTGGCAAGCGCCGTCGTGGGAACTGCTAGTTCAAGAAGGAGAAGTGGGTTCCGGGATTTGGGGTCCGTTTGGATGCAGAGGCTAACTTTTCCACGACGACCACCAAATATGGTGCCTGTAAAAGTGGTAATAATACGACGGAAATATGAAATTAATACGATGAAACATGATAAAATTATGTGTAAGACAACTTAACACACTTCAAAAAGAAGGGGTAGTCAAGACGTATACACGCTTAGTGTGCCCATGTGATGGAAGGAGCTCACCCCACTTTAGGTCATCAAGCTCGATCCACCTCAAATATTGAGGCTCAACGTGGAAAGGGTCAGCGCAAGCTGAAGGTTCTTAGTTGTTGTTGTTGCTGTTTATATTTTATTTTTTTTTCCAAACAAAGGTAACTGTCAAGCCCAACCAGACCAAAATACAGTTTGATGCAATTCATCTTATTATAAAATTCAAAATGAATCATTCACATGAGCGCCATATGTTGTCACCTTTACCTGTAATGAGAGTCGACGAAACGGAACTACGCCGCGGAGGATAGTACTTGTGGGAGGTGATTTCCCCGACAGAATTGTGGTTTTGCTCAAGGAAAACACATTTGCAGGTGGGGATGAGTAGCTCTGCCAAAGAGCGGAGAAGCCTCCGCGACCGAACTTGCTTGTGACAGTCAACGGCTACGACACCACCGGTGATATTGGTGGCGCTGACCGTTGGACACGACATCATTACGGTCGGTAGCGGGGAGTACAAGATGGGAGACTTACCGACTTATAGCAGCTCCATTGAGCGGTTTATATGTAAGGCATTGCTGGAATGAGTTGTGAACACGTAGTTATCATTACTTTCATAAAATAAATAAATAAACAAATAGAAATGAAGAATTAAAAAAAAAAAACCGTGGCTATAGCTCAAGGAAAATTCCATTATAATTTGTTAAAAGTTCTGCATGATTGGCCACAAAAACATCCTGTTAATTATTGTTTCTGAGTGCTCTAAGAAACAACGAGGGAGCTTCTCGCTCGGACTCTCAAATATTCATTATAAATTTATCCTTTCTCCCATTTAGATTTATTCCTTTTAGGAATTACTTTCATGTTCATCCTTTCCAAAGTAGAGAAGAGGTTTGATTATATCAATTAAAATTAAATTCTTTTGATATTCAATATTCCTAATAATCAGTTAAGGGATTATTTGCGGGAGGTACTATTTCTAAAAAAATATTGAAAAAATAGTAATAATTAAAAAAGTGTTAAAAGTATAAAAGTTAAAGATATTTATGAATTCCGCTGAAAAATAATTGAAGCAAATAAATAGAAATTTGGTAAAATAATTATATTAATTCCCTATTATATTAAAATGTATAAATTGTCCATAAGAAGTGATATAAGTAATTATAAAACTAATTTTATTGGGTAATTGATACAATTTTAACATTATTAAGATAAAAATAAAAATATAAATATTAATAACTAATAATTTATATAAGAACTTTATACATGTTATTAATAATCTTTAAAATCTAATTCTTAACATTCTCCTTTCTAATATAATTTTGCCTCCAATTTAAAAATATAATCTTACTTTTTCTTAAACTCCAATTTAAGTTTTGATTTACTCAATAAAAATAATTTGCAAAAAATAAAAAAATAATCAATATTTTTGTTAATTTAGATAAGAGTATTATAGGATTATAATAAAAAAATATTAGGGTATATTTGTCTAACTAAAATTTTTAATTATTTACAGTTATGCCTTTAGTTATAAGAAGTAGAGGGTTGGGATACTTTGTTTTCTTATTATTTTTAGTTGAAATCTAAAGAAAAGTAGTATTAGAAATAGCAAAACATATAGGAAAAATTGCTGAAAATTAGTTCAAAAAGAAAATTACCGAAATGTAGTTGGTGAACAGGCACTAAATCTGTAAGTGACTGAGTATTGAGTATAAATTTTTAGTAAAAACAGGATTTTACTTATTATTTAATATTGAAATTAATTAACATTAGTTATATTTGATTTTCATTATGTATTTAACTTGTATTTTTAAATTTCAATAATTTAATATTTAGATTTTTCAACACTAAATTGCGAATATATACATGCGCCGTATATGGTTAAATTTTAGCCATATTAATTACTTTTACTTATCAAATTGATGGGTTTTTAATTATATATGTTTTTCTTTTTTGGTGAAGAAAGATGGCATTATCTTAAACATTGACATTACATAACTTTAGATTATAAGTAACACAGCCATCTATCAATCAAAATGCCGTACAATCATCAAAAACCAAACCCCAAATTTCGACCTAATCATTGGACCCGTCGTTAGATATTGTGAGCCATACAACTCCAATTCACAACAGTACACGCTTTGTTTTATGTGAGAGTCTGTTTGAACTTTTTCGAGTATGTGGGTCTTTCGACTGCGGAAAAGTTGCGTAATTGTTTTATACTCTATACGTTAACAACTACACAAAGAATATAAAGCTTATATAAAGCCACTTATATAATACATCTAAAGTAAGCCATTTATGTGGGTTGGTGCTGTGGATGGACTCGAGACAAGAAAGTGCTGGAAGAATAAGGATTCAGTGAAATGCTTTCTAGTCTGTTTTCTCCACTCACGCTGATGGCCAATTATCTTTTGATGGGATCCGTTTTGGAAAATAACAAGAGAGGATAGTTGTTTTTTATTTGTTTTTGGCTATGCCCACCTGGCCAACAATGGCCCCCTCTCTCGTATATTTTTACATTTCTCATGGTAGCTAGATTGACATTTTGTTTATCACTAACAACCAAAAGGTGATGGAGAAAACTAATAAAACGACGCATTAATTCAATCAAATAAATGCAAATAAAATGTTCGGCTAATTCATTTCTTTGGTTTCTTTGATTCACTGTATAGATTATACTGTTAAGGCATTAGTAGTGATATACATAATGTTCGGATGGCGGGGCTGCTTGGAGGATTCTCGGTGGTTAGGCTAAGTCTAGGCGCTCGCCCTGGGATCACGTCCACCTTCAGCATCTCGGCTGTAGTCCTGTGCAGCCACTCACTTTCCCCACAAGCTCTCTCTCAATGCCTCCGGGAGGGTCCAGGGGCAAGAATGCAGAGGGGTGGGCTTCGGCCAGCATTGGGTTTGAGTGTTAATTAGCAGTGGCTTGGAGTTGGTTTTGAGTTCGAGCTATATATATGTTTATAAATTTTGTTCAGAATAAGTTTTGAACTCTGATGTGTATAATAGATTTTTTGTACTTAATGAATCATTCCTTTTATTTTTATAATTCACGAGATAATTTCTCCTTACATTACATGGTCTAAATCTATCAGTATAAATATTTTAAGTCATAAATAAATATTATTTTTTTAAAAAAATTCTTTTTGCAAGATAAGCATAATGATGATTTAAAAAAAGAAGTCTCAGAAAAAATAAAAAAATAGAAAAAAAAATATTTTTCTTCTCATATCAAACACGCCTTATCCCCTAGACATACAATGTTAAACCCACATTTTTAATGCTCAACCTCAAATTATGCTCCGCCTGGTGAAAGAATGGGTACGTATATGCGAATTTCATGCAATATCATGATCATATGCAACATATATATACACATAGTCTGACAACTCATCACTAACCGGATTTGTTAAGGCTAGCAGTTTTTCAGTACGCTTACACGAATTAATCAGGGTGAAGAAATCTTGGGTTGTTTGGTGTCAAGATAATTTTTAATGATTTTCTCCTATGTTGAAGATAGCCATGGAACGTTTAGCCGAAGAAGTAGAGTTTTGAAAGTAAATATTTAGTTTGTAGGATAGTTTTTTAAAATATGAAGAAATTAAAACTTTTCAAAAAAAAATCTTATCATATTCCGTGCCATGTAATTTTTAAGTGTGATATCATGTAATATATAAAAAAACTCTTGAGAGTTATTATTAAATAATTTGAATTTAAGTATTTTAGATAATAGCTCAGTTTTAACAAGTTAATAAAATTAATAACTTTTGAACCGTCATAAACAGTGTTTAAGCAAACAATTATTATATATATTCTATTATATTCTATTTAGATATGAATACCTTGGTAAACAATCCAAAGCCCAACATGCATATATCCCCGGCTCTCTTGACTAACTTGGACATTTGATCAACATACTAATAAATTGGATTGTCTTCAATTTAAGAATATATGTTAGTATATTAATTTACACAAATATTTTTATAAGGAGAACTTTACGGTATCCAGGGAAATTCTAGATTTTTAAAATCCTTATCTACGTGTGCTAATATAAATTTGTCACTTAGACAAGGTAGAATACATGTAAGCAAATAACTTAGTTGCAAACTAAAATTCTGGAGGGTCTTAATTGCAAAAGGGTAGCATAGTGATCCCATCCGTCTGGTAGCATCAGTGCCCTAGCCCACCCCATCCCTTCCCCTTCCCCTTCTCCAGTAGGTGTTCGCCCTTGGGCAGCAACAATGGCTAGGACCCGCCACCATTCTTGTCCCATAGTAGCAACACGAGTAGTTGGAGCAACAGCAGCACCAGCAAGAGTACAAGCACCATTGAGGCTGCCCATTGACATCCTTTGGTGTGTGCGGCGACGGCGAGAGATCTCTTGTATCTCCCTGGTTTTCATCTCTGTGAAATTTGAGTTTTCGAATTACATTTTGAGGTTTGAGCTTCCACATTTTAGAATCAATTATCATACAAGATATTTATTTTTCTTACGCTTTTTCTTTGTTTGACCACACACACATATATTAAATGTGGGAGTTCATCTTTTATAATCAGTAATTGCTGAAGACTTTTATGCTCCTCACTGCAACTTCTTTCATCTGTCTTTCTTTACTGGAATCTTTAGATACCTTCCAGAGGAATTGTTTGAAGATTTGTTCCAATTGGTTGCTATTTTTTTAATTCTGCTTGAGAAGTGGCCATTTTTGGATGATAATTTCTTCAAGGATCCAGCATCTGCATCTGCATTTTTGGATGGTAATTTCCACAATAGGCGGTCGACGATACTGGCCATCTGGGAAAACTGATGCTGCTCTGTGGACAGGAAGAAAAAGGCATTGCACTCACGTTGCTTTGCAGAGGGGAGACTACAGTTTTGCACTCGAATCCTTAGGCCAACGGTTTATTGCAGATTACATTAAATTTGGAGGACTTACAGGATAAATTACATCGTTTAATAGTTTTGAATTATTTGAAACCCAAAATCCCTCCAAGCGTGGCAGTGTTCTTCTCCTTGTTATAATCTCATAAATTTAAGAATATGTGTCGGTAAAATAATTTAAAAAGGTCGTTGGGCTACGTAACGCCACGTGGTGGCATCAACCCATCGCTGATCGGAGACTGACCAGTAATTATACTCGAGTGTAGTGGAATCCAATCAAATCAATCTTAAAAAAGAACTTTCTATTTTTCCACAGACCAGTAATTATGTGAATTGTTAAGTATTAATTATATATAATATTAACAAAATTAATGTAACTGCAACTAATGCCCATGACAAATTCATTAGGCGAGGACATTATTCATGAGAAAACAGCAAAAGTTTTACTCAAAAACATAATAAATTTGTGGCAGACCAAAAATTATCTGGAAAAATGTTCAGATATTTTTTTACCCTTAAAATGGAACTCTATCCCTCTCCAAATGAAAAGTGCCTGCCTGTGCTACGTCATGACCTCCGAGAGGCTCCCCCTCCCAATAACATTGTAA